ATTTTTTTTCGCCTTTTTTCTCCACAAAAAAAAATATTAAGCAAACAGGATCTCTGCCAGGCACCATAATCTTACAGAAACAAGAAACACCAATGGCAGCGCCTTCGCGCCACGCCACACCACGCCCCCTCCCCTTACCATGCCCCATTTCAGTCTGCGCGTAGGTCCCGATAACGGCAAACCGTTTGGCCAGAGGTAACCATTTGGCTTTCTGCTGTTCCGTGCCCAGCTTCTCGATGGTGGGCGTAAACATGGAGACGTGCAGGCCCAGAGGCAGAGGTTGCGACGGGAAATGTACCCTGAAAGTGAAAGGCAGGCACGATGACTTTCCATCACTGACACTATAGGGCAACAACGCCAGGCTCCTCGTTGCGTCTCTCGTGGATTTTTTCTGCTTTTTGTTTTTGTTTTTATGTTTTCCTTCGTACACATTCTCGATAACTTTACTCTCTACTAGACATGCAGCTTTTATCATAAGACGCGGTGCAACCGGTCCTTCTTTTTCGATGAATGTAGGTGTTTTTACGCCGCCATTAACACATTTTTTATCATTTAGAAGCCGGGCTTCGACCCTGCCAGTACGGCCCAACCCGGCTGAGAGGCAGGAATCGAACTATTGTTTTCTGCATGTGACGACAAAGCACCTAACCGCTGCACCACAGACGCCGATTCACCTTCTCTTAATTAAACTCCCTAAATACAGCAGGTATCCTCGAACGCAGAGCAATCAGTGCCTTTAGCCTCCGGGTATCGGTGTCACATAAAATCACACAAAAAAAAAGAATGGAGACCGACGCGGATTCAAATCTCGACCTTCCACATGTTAGTGCAGGTGGCTTGCAAAGCCGACACACAGGGGGCACCACTAAGAAAAATCTGAAACCAAGTCATGCCACACAAAAAGATCAACTAAAAACAACGTCAAGGATGTATTAATAAGCTGAGCAACACACAGGACCAAGGACAACATCTAGTTATAAAGTGAAACAACGTAGGCTTTTCTATGAGTTGAATAAAATCGACGACAGTGGGTAATCACTGAAGAGGAAATGAATAAAATAAAATAAAACAAATTATCCTATTATTACGCATACATAATATACAGGGGTGTAAAAGAAGGTATGCAATAAACATCACATCATTTGCTGTGATACTTAATTCATTAAGATCATGCAAACAAAGCATGAACATCAATGAGAAACATTTTGAGTATTTGAGAACTGGAGGCTATTTGTTTATTACATGAATACCTACTGTTGCACCCCATTGTATATATATATA